TAGGCATACACCGGTTTAATAAGGGCTTTCTGAAGTCATTATTTAATTTCCATCAGGTGACTTTGAAAATAAACTGCTATTACATTATTCAGTACAAAAGATATATAACTAATCCGGCAAAAAACAAATAAAAACATTAATTCAGTCTAATTGTCCGTATTTAGGTCGAAATGGTGGTTATAATGCACGAACGCACTTTTCGGGTTTCTTACACTACACGTGATAAATAATATTACGTCACCTAGACACGTGTAACTTTCTATAACAAACAAATTTCGAGAACGTTACATCACGACCACTGTTTTAGATATATATATATATATATATATATATATATATATATATATATATATATATATATATATATATATATATATCTTATCATATGAATTGATTTGAAATAATAAATCCGTAATGCTTACTATAGATTTCTTCAGTACGTACTACCTATTTTTTTTAAAGTCCAATTTACTTGAATAAATTATATTACAATATGTTTACGAGATATGTACTTTAAGTTTAATATAGCATAAGTGATTTATATACTACAATCCCAAAATATACACGAAGAATATAGAGAGTCACCACCCCTATTCATCCCGTGGGTGTCGTAAGAGCCGACTAAGGGAGCAAACTACGCAGTACAACAGCACTGACAAGAGAAGAAAATCTTGAAACAAACTCTATACGAACCCGTCTGGCCAAAACCTCATTTCTAGAGAGAGGCCCATGTCCAGCAGTGGACTTTTAAGGACTATTGATGATGATGATGCTGAATCCCGAAGCGGTGTATTTCGGTTGTGGGTCCGAATAGCATTTCCCAGAAAACAAACACACCTCACGTTAAATAGTACCAATCAATAGTAATCAAAAGGCACACCATTACGTGAATCTGTATATTATATATATATATATATATATATATATATATATAAATGTGCCGACAAATAATAAAGTTGATAATTTGACTTATTTTTCCTAATACATCTACGATTAACTACGAGTACTATCAGTTTACAATAATTCCAGTCCATTCTAAGGTCTTTCTAGGGTATACCTGGTTCCCCGGCTATTAGTACCCGAGACGGCGTGCGGTTTTAGTCGGTTCGAGTCCGACATGCCACCGACAGGTGGTATCCGAGGGGATTTCCGCACGGAAACAAAAAAAAAAGTCCATTCTAAGGTTTCAGGAAGAGAGTACTCTACGTAATAAACCCGCCCTTTGTATTTTTTGTTTCTGTGCATCCTTGTACAAATAAAGTAATACTTTATTTGTACAACAGAGCTTTACAAAGATTTTAGAAAAGTAGATCACACTTTTCTAAAATACTTTTCACTGTTTTGACAGTAAAGAGCATAATTATTATGATTCCTTATGCCAAGATATAAATGTTTAAATATTATAAATGCATCAAGTAAACAATAACACTGTTACATCATAGTATGATATGTAAATAATAACATTGTTAAATAATATGAAAAAAAAACAATAAGAATCATGTGTAGGAGACAATAATATTTATAATTTAAATATATCAAACATGTCATTACTCTTTCCATATGCATATTACATACATACCTACATGTACATAGAAATACACTCCGAAGGGATATACCGGTGGCCTATGGCCAATTCGCCCTTCACATTTTAGGTATGTCAACTCGCCCCCCATTAACTTTAGCTAACTTTTCTAAGAAAAATTGATAGGAAAAACTAAGACACTTTGAAATTACACTTAAACAACTTAAAAACCGAACCCTGGTCAAAGGATGAATCATTCACCAGAAAGGGATGAGTCGTATATATTATTTAAATTTAATCCGTTGCGTAGTTGGAAAGTCTAAACAGAGAAACAAAAGCGACAGGAATAAAAACGATTTCATTTTATACTACATATGTAAAGATAGGCAAACCATGTTTTTTATCTGACTGTACAAAATAGTTTTTGTGTGATGTCAAATTGTCAGTGAAAAATTTTTAAATTTAAAAGTGTCAGTTCGGACAAGTAACCGAAACGTCAGCAAGCTAATACGTGCAAACAAGTGACATTCAACGCTAATGAATGTCAATTTAAAAAAAATATCGAGGGTAGGTAGGTAACGAAATTAATTTGCAGTTACCTCATAATAATTTAATAAAATATATTTGTTTTTACGAAACGAAAAAATACCTACAAAAAATTTGTTAAGAATAATTTGTAAATTAAGTATAGATCTATACAAAATATAGATGTTTTATGTTCCAAAGTTCCTCACAAGTATGAGTATATAATAAGAGTCAAATCTATTTACCGAAGCATCTTAACTGAGGAGCCAGGTAACGTACTGTGCTGCATCTCCCATTTCACTCGTTTTTAATTACTGACTCTTTACACCATTAATTTAAAATACTTACTACTAAATGATGATGCATCAATTGGAAGACTGCTTCTTTAAAAATGACAGTCGTATGTATTGTCTGATGATTTATAATATATGGTCACTTTTTTAATTTTAACATTACCGACCTCAGATTTTGTCTACTAACTACTCTCATATACTCGTACTACAAAATAATACTAAATTATGATAAATATACATCTATTATGTTCCTAGTTTTGACATGGCTCCTCCATCCAAACATTTAGATTGAGGAGCCACCTTTATGTTTATATAATTTGGAAGTATTATACTACAAAATCGAGGATCGAGGCTGCAATATTTTTTAAATTACTACTTAATGATAATATTAATTTTATTACATATAACCACTTTTCATATCTCTTCAATCCATACGGACATAATAATTGTACCTAAGAAACTCATCACTAATTTCTTAAATAGCTCATTAATTTGCCTACAACTATTTTCTTTGCAGCGTTTACCCTTATTACTTAAACGTTGTCTCAAAGGAAAGCTATAGCATGTTACTTCATAATTCCCCGAGTGAAATTTCCCATCAAATCCGGTTTTAAACTAGCCCTGTTCCTACCCTAAAGATTTCAACGGCGATTACTTGGTATCCAATAATGTAAGGCTTCTTGTTTACCTATAAAATACGTCGTTTAAGTTATTGATGAATTTGATATTTTAAAACTATTAAGTTAGTTATTTTAATTTTTCTGAAGGATTGAAAATATTCTTGCCTATGCTGCATTCGATGGCAGCTTCGTTTGAACTTCATACCAGACCAAGTATTAGACTTTTTCCTCATTGCCTCATGGCCTGCAAAGATCTTGACTTTTACTGGCTTGCTACTGGCGATATGTTGGGAAGTTTAATCTGTAAATGAAATTCCGTAAGGTATTTGACTTTTAAACTAATAAACTGTACGCAGACTAAAACTTGCTAATTTAGTTTGTAGTTCTAGGTAAACATATAGAAAAACACGTGAATTGAAAGTTTATTAAAGTCGAATAAAGTTTTTTTAAAGGAGTAAGCTTTAAGTTTCTACATCGCTCTAAGATTTTTAATTTATAAAGTACGAAAAGTCCGTTTGGTATATTATTAGCGATTTATTGGATTTCCCGCGTATGTCGCATCAACAGAGAAGAATCAAAATATTCTCTCGGATCATGCCAACAACCTTATTTGTATGATCTGAGGTGGTGCCTGTTGCGAGGACGCTTTGATTCCCGCTCGTATGCTTTCAGATTTTAATTAGACATATGTTTCCTGTTTTCATTTATTAACACTATGCATGTTGTGTTTGCTTAAATTGGTTGTACATTAGCCAATTCTAGCACATGTAATTTATTATTATTAAGTACCAATGTTACGACTGGAAGCAAACCATAAATAAATATTATTTACCTTTGAATTAGTTAGACCGAAGTAGGAGGTGAGACACTGAAATTTTCCACTCCTATATTACAATTTTATCCCTTGGGAAATGCTCGAGTCGAATACCTTATGTAGACTAGAGACTAGTATATCTTATTTTCTGTAATATTTATCCGAGAGAGCCTCCTTTTGAGCCGTTGAAAACTCTTCTTCCATGGAGCTTGATTAGTTTCGAAGGGGAGCTAGAATTTGGCATACACATTTTGGCGGGTGACCATTTTAAAGTTGTCAAAAATTTGTCGTACAATTTCAAGTCAAATTAATAATGAAAAATTGAACATTTCAAAATAGTATGCAAGTCATGCCATTTTTAGAATACAGTCAGCCGTTAAGGTTTATCTACTAAAATGGTACAGATTGCACTTGGCAGCTGTCTACCGTGCTGATATTTGGCGTTTTGAGTGTTTAGACGGCGTAACGGCTCAAAATTAGCCATATATAATCCTGGAATGTCAAAAATATCTGCGTAAATATGATAAAACTGAAGAGTTCGATTCTCTAAAATTATTTTGGAAGATATGGAGTTTTGTATATGGCTTTTCTTTAGTCGAGTTTGAAAAAGACGTCTACTACTGGACATAGGCCTGCCGCACGGATCGCCACAAAAACCGGTCCTGTGCTGTCCGCATCCAATGTAGAGTATAGCTGTAATCATACGTTAACCTTGCATAGCTGTAACAATATCTTTACTACTGCGTATTGCATAATTCGCGGAGCCTTAGTTACGTGTACGCGATATTAATATATTTTTGGATTATTAATGTATTTTACACCATAATAATACATTTAACAACTTTTTATGTAGAGAACAAGAAAAATATGTTTACACAGGTTTTATACTCTGTCACTGACTTGAACTGATCTCATTCGCACACATATTTGTAGCTGGATTCTGGTTCTTTCAAATATACCTACCAACTTATTAACCATGTGTCCAAAATTAAGAATTGTTGATCTCCTTTTCTCTTGTCCTCTTTTGCAAATCAAAATAAAACATACAGATACCCCGAGAATCACAGGTAATTTAAATCGCGCAATAAATCTCCAAAATGCGCGTCTTCAGCAGTTATACCAACCTATGGAGGGATAGAAAGAAATTAGAAGGCAAGCTTAGGAATAATGAAACAAAAAATATGCGTTTTACAGTTTAATTAACAAAAACTTTTGTTTGTCTACAGGCATGGTCGGAGCAACGGATGTTGTTAATCCATCAGAGAAGATCGAAGACCAGTCGCCGCACCTTAACGGCAACCCAGTTTTCGCTATTAGCGGTAAGCTTCTATGCATTTACCATAGTTTTTATGTTTGTTTTACAGGAAGGTTAGTCAGCAACAACCTGTTCCAGTAACAGATATGCGACCAGAACTTGTTCGACTTTCTTATACAGAATAGAATAGAACAGAACATTATTTATTTCATAAAGCACTGCATACAAAAATAAAACAAAAGACATACACAAAGAAACTTAAAATCAAGTAAGGTTTGATAAACACGTTAACAAGGCAACATCTTTTATACCTGACAGAATTGACATGACACGTCAATGTGCCACGTATCCAACCACGCGTCTATGAAATGTTACTTATAATAACTATTATTTATCAACTAATTCTTAATAAAATAAAAACCTTTAATGTTGTTGAGGGTTGTACGACGTGTTTCACATAATTGGTGGACCTTCAGTGAATACTGTGGTGGATAGTTGACACCTCAGTACTGATTCTCAGTGCCACCTTTGTTGTCGCCCTGATGCCAACAGCCGCCATTCCTTCGATTGTCTTCCTATCTTACTTTAAAACGCACTCCACATTATCCCATCTGTCCTTCTGTAAGTGCCAACATGTCAGTTTGATATCAATATGCTTGCTTATTTACGTATAAGTGAAATGGTTGGTTATTTACAGTCTCCACATCGGGAATATTTGATACAATTGTCTACCATTTTGGGGTTCAGGCGTTATAAATGATATTTATTTCTGCAAGTAAATCTTTTCAAATATTTTTACAAGTCGAACTTTACAGCTACGAGTAGAACCAGCCGGAACTTCTTAAAATTCACTCTGCGAAGAAACTCTTAAACAAACCACAGAGGTGTCTTTTTTTTAAGTTCCTGTAAAATGTTAAAGAGAGTACAGTATAGGGTCTGGCTTCGCCTTTAAAGAAAGTACCATAGTTTTGAGTTGTCACCGAGATTCGTTTTGAGTCGTGGACATAGGTATAAATTAAAAAAAAAGAGTAATAATCTATCCCTGACTAAACTAAAGAGCTGGTTTAGTAACGTTAGTCAGTAGTGTTATCACCACTCCGGGGTTCACGGTTATCTGTGTGGGGATGGATTAAAAATACGGAGTGTCACCACCCCTATTCATCCCGTGGGTGTCGTTAGGACAACAACATTGCAAAGAGAAGGAAAACTTGACACAAACGTTATACGATACCGTCTGACCAGCGTGGTATAGTAGGCCGGAACCTCCTTCTAAGGAGAGGCCTATGTCCAACAGTGTACTATAAATAGGCCACCGGCCTATAATAGTCCACTGCTGGTTCTTACGGTTAAGTGACTTGTGGAAATTAGAGCGACTAAAATCACACCATGTTCGGTCACATTTACCCTACTATTGTAACGGACGCGAGTATATCCTAGAAAGAAACTCCCATAAAATTAACTAGTACGTTACTACCTTTTGTTGAGGAAAGGAAGTGGTGAGCTATTATACACCAAGGGGAAATGGCGTGGTATCTGAACATGTCTTATTTACAAAACACGGTACAATAGGCATGACTCCATCAGGTATTTTCTCAAATTCCCACGACATACGGGCGTGATAAGTGTGTATGCTTTCATACATAACTTGTTGCAATTATTTATATAATAGTGGATATAAATAAATCATTTAATGCCTATTGTCTTAATGCAGTGCCAAGACCCTGGAATTGAGCCGTATGGTTATCAATGTGTGCTAAGAGCATTAACCCTTCAATACTACACTATAAAGCGATTTTGAAAACAATGAATAGTTATTGATATCTAACCATCTGTGTTTCTATATGCACTCAACACACATACCGACGTACCTACTCTATGCAATATAAATAAATAACTTTAAAAAAAGGATCGCTGACTTCAATGCGAATTGTAATAAACTGTATTCACCAACTGTATTCACTTCAATGGAATTATATACTTTCAAATAAAAAAATGCAAATAGGTTTAAAATTGACGCAATTCTGAGGTAAATAAGAAAAAATGCAGGCAAAATTCTGGGCATGTAGAACGCCTTTGTCTACCGCAACGATGATAAAGGACTCGAGTGTATGTACTAAACTTTATAGTAGGTATAATAGTAATAAATAAAATTTAGCACAGTCAGTCATTCCTGTCAATTATATGCTATTAATGATCATTTGTCTATCAAATTCTCGGATACGGTTTCGATATCAGACGCCATTGTAGCTGATATTTTTTATTACATATTACACATATACTTATTTATTTTTATTAGTAGTAGTTAACAATATTACACTTATACTAATAAATATACTATATGTGCTATAAAACTTTTCTATTATTATTTTGTAGGCGTACTCAGGGTTAGGATTGAAGACCTCATTCTTGAAAGTTTTGTTACCTCCAGACTTTCACTGTTATTGTCTTTCGTCTTGACTCGGCATTCACGAAGTTCAGAATGTAGTATACTCACTATAGTATTATAATATAATATTTTGGTCAATTTACTGACTTACTGCTCTTGGCCTCGTTTCTTTCGTACGCCGTAACGTAACGTAACGTAATAAATATATTGATTAAAGATATATTTACATTTGAATTCGCAAGTCAGTAAATCTATAGTTTCTTGACATTTTCCTAAATTTATTTGAAGTCGCCGTTATATAACATTGTAAAGGGTTATGACTCCAACTCTTATTAGGAATGTAATCGTCTATAAAAAAAGCAGTTTATCTATAATACATATATTGTAAAGATAGGGAAGTTATTATACGATTTCAAAGACAATTTAACGTGTATAAACTTGTTGACATGAATCAATTATTAGCTTATTTTATCATCTGGAAATTCCACAGAACAGTTACAAGAGGTAACTCCACGGGTCGTCACCTTACGGGGGTGCACGGTGAAGTGGTATCTTGGAACCACACGGTATTCCGTCAGATGTGAATCTTTTGCAATGGACTTGATTGTACCCTAAGAAAGGTCTCAGTTGGACAAATTGGATTGGAGTGTTTGGAAAATTTGAGTTATCCAGAAAGTAATGGCAATACATGTCGGTATTTCAGCGATGTCAGGTGTCAACATACGTTTAGTAGAATTATGAAGAGCATTGTAAATATGCGTGTGACGTATACGCACAGTTGTGTGTAACGGAACGTGACGTTCAGTCTAGACAGGCGTCAATACGAAGAAATGTTTATCGTCACGTTCCTTTTCTCGGCATGTAAGTAATGTAATTTTGGGGTATTTCGGTATTACGATAGATTTAAATGCTTGAATGTTTCGCTTGTTACCCAAATATTTTTGACAATCCTGGAATTAAATTCTAAGAGCTCAAAGGATGAATATTCGAGAAACTCTCATACTAACTCTAACTCTTATACCTACATAATATAAAACTTTACTCAATTTTCAAGGTTTCTTTTTATTAAACGTCAAAACGAAAAGGTTCTAAAGAAACTGGTTATAAATAACAAGGTATGACGTCATACTCTGCTATCATCAAATCATTAATTTTTAACGTTTGTTGTTTTATGAGAAAAAATATTAACAAATTTATTTAAATTATAAAGGATTTAACTCCACGAGGCTTATTAAATAATTTACTTTAATCATAAAACCCCATTCGTCTTTAAATAGCAAACTCTATTTCTATGAATCCAATCGAACGCAGAGCCAGCTGCTCTGAAGAGGGAGATAGTTCTACATACAAACGATTTGTACAGGTTTCTAAGTAATAAATATATTTAAGGTTTCTGCGATTGATTGTTTTCATGAGCTCTTGTTTTCATGCTTATTCGGTACTTAAATGTTTGTAATTCAATCAGACAAAGAAATTTAAAGAATACTTCCCCAAATTAACCGAAGATATAACTTACCTACCTGATAATAAAGATCTAACCATCCTTGGCAGTCCGGTAATTAAGAAACATACAAAAATGTTCATAATTATTAAAGGTATTATGCAACCAACTAATAGCAAAACCTACCAAAAGAAAAAGAGACATTCGACTTCAAAATGGTAAGAGAACCCGTCTTTCCTTTTTTCTTTTGCTTTTTTAGTTAGTTACAATGTTTTTAAGGTTTTTAAATGTAATAAACTTATAGCACTTAAAGGTCTTAATAAATTTACCATTAAAATATTTTACTGAGAATACGCTGCATATATTATTACAATGCGCTGTCAGGCTCTTAAAGAAACAAAGTTATGTACGTGACAAATCAGTAATCAACGCGGTTTCAGAAAAAGCATTATTCTAATTTTAAATTAACTCTTTCATCATCGCTATAGAGGTTTTCTAAATCTTCCAGTAACAGTTGCCAGCATTGCCCAAGAGTTCGTGATCAATCAGACGATAAGAAACATTTCACAACACTGGTCATTGTTATCTGAATATAAATTGGATATATCTACTTATTTGGCAATGAATTGAAATCCTATTGGATAAGCGTGACATTTGAGCGAATGTGGGGTTTCATACACAAAAATATTAGAAAAATATTCCTAGGGAAATACCACAGATTCAAGATTTTATCTTTTCAAACAGTTGCCGATTACTTCATTTTGTCAGCCCATTTGTAGATATTAACTATGTCCCTGTGGTAAACCCTAAGCTTACGATAAAAAAAAGGATGATAATCTCTAACTTTTACGGACGTGTTGGTAAAAACAAAATTTATTTCTTTTAATTAAACCAATTATAGGTATTTTTATATGATTAGGAGCTGGTTTCAGCCAGACCTTGTCAGTCGTTAAACAAGGTGCCTGTTCCAATACGTAGATCCAGTGGAGAAAAAACTAGAAAATTCATGGACACTTTTCGTACTCATTAACTCCTGTTTGATAATGGTTATTCTTAAGATATACCAAAGTGAACGGGATTGATTTTATAGAGGTTAGTGATCTTCACTGCTAAGCTAGAGGTCGTCGGTTCGATACCCAACCAGGAAAGATAAGTGTGTGGTGTAATAAGCACGATCGATTGTTCGTTATCTAGGTGTAATTTTATCTATAATATGTATGTATTTAAAAATATATAA